GGAAGATGAACAGATCGAGGATTGAGTCGTAGGGTCGATCAAAATCCAAGGGAAAGTTCAAAGGAAGATGCTACGGGTGTAACAAGGAAGGGCATACCAAGAGATTCTGTCCAAATAAGAACGAGAAAAAGAAGAAGGGCTCGGATGAAGCAAGTGTAGCCGACAGCACTAAGACCAATGATGGGGATGTCTTGACCATATCGTTGGGGAAGGATACCTTCGAAGATTCGTGGATCTTGGACTCCGGATGCACTTATCATATGTGTCCTCATCGAGAAGCTTTCGATGAGTACAAGGCATATGATGGTGGTTCAGTTCTCGTGGGGAATGACACTTCATGCAAGACTGTGGGAGTTGGAACCGTGAAAATCAGAATGTTTGATGGCATGATCAGAACCCTAGCAGATGTGCGTCATGTACAACGTCTAAGGAAAAATCTGATTTCATTGGGAGCACTTGAATCCAATGGATGCAAGTACTCGGCTCAAGGTGGAGCCTTGAAGGTGATAAAGGGAGCTCTGGTTGTTCTAAAGGGACAGAGGCACGGGAACCTATATCGACTTATAGGAACCACAGTGCAAGGTGGAGCATCTGTGTCCACGGATGCTAGCATGGAGATAGATAATACCTATCTATGGCATATGCGTCTTGGGCATATGGGGGAAAGAGGATTGATGGAGCTTCACAAGAGGAATGCACTCCAAGGTATGAAAACATGCAAATTAGATTTCTGCAAATTTTATGTGTTTGGAAAACAATGTAGAGTACGGTTCAATGTTGCAACTCATATGAGCAAGGGCGTGCTTGAGTATGTACACACGGATGTATGGGGTCCTTCACTAGTAAAGTCAAAAGGTGGGAAGGAATACTTCGTGACATTCATTGATGATTTCTCTTGGAAAGTTTGGGTCTACTTCATGTGACACAAAAGTGAGGTCTTTGACAAGTTCAAAGAATGGAAAGCCGAAGTTGAGACTTCAACAGGAGAGAAGCTTAAGTGCTTGAGATCGGACAATGGAGGAGAGTACAAATCGACACCGTTCATGGAACTTTGCAAGAAAGAAGGGATTAGACGTCACTTCACAGTTCCGGATACGCCCTAATAGAATAGCGTAGCGGAAAGGATGAACCGGGAGCTCGGAGCATGAGGTTGCATGCGGGACTGAGCAAGTAGTTTTGGGTAGAAGCTGTCTGCATGGCATGTTATCTTGTGAATCGGTCTCCTTCAACTGCAATTAAATGCAAAATTTCCGAAGAGGTATGGACTGGTAAAAATGTCGATTATTCTAATTTAAGAATATTCGGTTGTCCGGCTTTTGTACATGTGCAGAGTTCGAAGCGCTCAAAGTTGGATCCAAAGTCAAAACAGTGCATATTTCTCGGTTACGAGAAAGGAGTGAAAGGCTACAAATTATGGGATCCAAGTGAGAAGAAAGTTCTAACAAGCAGGGATGTTGCGTTCAATGAATCTACAATGTTGAAGTCAAGCTGCGTGCCACACACGGCTGCTGAAGAGGAGAGTGATAAATCTATCATTAAGGTGGAGCTTGAAGCTAGAGAATTTGTAGAGAATGACGAGTCATCTGATGAAGCTCCGGAAGTGTAAGAAACAGTAGAAGTTCCTCGTACCATTGCGATGGGTGGAGGAAGGCGCACTCTCAAAGCACCGGAGAGGTATGGTTTTGAGGACATGGTTGCTTATGCTCTTACCGTAGGCTCCAGCGATCTAAGCTCCTATCATGAAGCTTTGAAAAGTGATCACAAAGAAAAGTGGATGACCGCAATGATGGAGGAGATGGAGTCGTTACAAAAGAATGAGACGTGGGAACTTGTGAAGAAGCGCAAGTATCGGAAAGTCATTGGCTGCAAATGGGTTCTTCGAAGAAAGGAAGCAGCAACGGAGAAAGAGCAAGAGAGATACAAGGCCCAACTTGTTGCTAAGGGCTATGCACAGAAAGAGGGGATCGATTATAATGAGACATTTTCCCCAGTTGTAAAACACACGTCAATTCGTGTTTTACTAGCTATGGTGGCCATGTATGACTTGGAACCCGAGTAGCTAGATGTGAAGACGGCATTCCTTCATGGTGACTTGGAGGAGAAAATTTACATGGAGCAGCCCGAAGGCTTCAAGGTGGAAGGGAAAGAGAATCATGTTTGCTTGCTCAAGAGATCACTTTACGGTTTGAAGTAATATCCGTGGCAATGGAATAAAAGGTTTGATTTTTTTATGCTTCGTATTGGCTACATAAGGAGTGTGCATGATTCTTGTGTCTACTACAGAGTTTTGGATGATAAGTTGCTTATTCTATTGATGCTCTACGTTGATGATATGTTGATTGCTGCAAGGAAAATGAGAGACATCATTTCCCTAAAGTCTCAATTAAGCAACGAGTTTGAAATGAAGGATCTTTGTGCTGCAAAGAGGATCCTTGGCATGGAAATCTTTCGAGATAGACGTGCAAGTAAGCTTTGGGTAAATCAGAAGAAGTATGTTGAAAAGGTCTTGGAGTGGTTCAACATGGGAAAAGCTAAACCGGTTTGTACACCCTTAGTAAATCACTTCAGATTATCCGAGAAACAATGCCCTAGTTCACATGAGGAGGTTGTAAAGATGTCTCGAGTACCCTATGCCAGTGCAATAGGGAGCCTCATGTATGTTATGGTTTGTAGCAGACCGGATTTAGCTCATGCAGTGAGTCTCGTCAGCCGATATATGAGCAATCTGGGTAAGGAGCATTGGGAAGTTATTAAGTGGATCTTTCGTATTTGGCCGGAACTACCGAAATGGGTTTGATGTTCAGTTCAAAGGAAGAATCGATCAATTTAGCAGGTTATGTCGATTCGGACTTCACTGGTGATTTAGACAAGCAAAGGTCCATCACGGGATACGTCTTTACTCTTGGAGGTGGAGCTATTTCGTGGAGGGCAGTACTTCAGTCTACTGAAGCATTGCCTACAACCGAAGCCGAGTATATGGCAGCAATAGAGGCTGCGAAGGCGGGAATATGGCTGACCGGTTTGGTCACGGAGTTAGGTTTAAAGCAGGAAACTACTACACTATATTGCGATAGCCAAAGCGCAATATGTCTTGCGAAGAATCAAGTGTTTCATTCCAGAACGAAACACATTGAAGTTCGGTACCACAAGATTCGAGAATTTGTGGAGAATGGTAGCATTGCTTTGAAGAAAATCCATACAAAAGATAATCTCGAGGATATGCTCACGAAGACGGTTACTACGGAGAAGCTCAAGTCTTGCAGGGACTTGATTTCTCTCACCCATCATTGAAGTTGATAGAGGCCGCACCGGTCTAGGTGCGGGCATACCTTTGCGAAGGTACGGTGGAGAGAGAGATATAAACGTTTTCTTGATTCAAGTGGAGGCTTGTGGTTTATTCAAGCCAAAGGTGGAGATTTGTTGATGTTGTCTTGAATTCCATGAAGTTTCGATCAATTAGAGACTCGAAAAAATCGATCGGGAAATCTAAGAAGGCTTAGAGCTTGCACACTACGTGTTTCAAATATATTATCTATCTATATGGGATTTCATGGGAAATAGGCCTAATTCAATGTAACTAGGATACGTCGTGATATTCCTAATATTTAGGGGATCATCACTAAAGATTTATTAGTTAGTTTCCTAAACTGATAAGATCTTTAGGGTGAAACTTCTTGGGATTAGGAAAGTAGGGATCTGAGGATCTATTTATTCAGCATTGTACCTTGCATCAAATATGATCAGAAATAAGAAATCGTCTCTCTCTCTCCCGTGGTCGTAGGCGGAATTTTTTCGCCGAACCACGTAAATCTCTGTGTTTGGATTATTCTTGTTTCATCTCATCTAGTTAGGGTGCTCTTCCGCACAACATTGGTATGGTCGGGTCAATGAAAAACGGGGACGAAACTCAGCATGAAGTCAATAGAAGGGTTCCTGGCTTTTCCTCTTCTTTAAGCAAAATAAAAATTTATACTTCATAGTACCGTCGTCAAAATTCAAGATAGAAACTTCAAACTTGGGATCCAAGCTTGCCCTTCAATCCAAATCAAGCTTCGAGAAGAGAGAGAGAGCTCCATTTCCACGATACGATGCTTCTGCATTAAGGAAGAAACAATCCCGCGCGCATCACGCACGAGGACTTGACTAATACGTAAAATCATTTAAGATACAAATATCCATGCGAAGATTTGGGAATAATTTTTTCTATTATTATTATTTAAAACTTACATTATTTTAACTGTCAATATCTTAATTAGTAAAATTAATCACGCTTCTGACTTTTTTGTCGACTTCTTGCAGTTGAGTGTTATGCAGAGGCAGAAAGCCAAGGAAGATGACGCCAACTTCTTGATTTGCAGTAGACGTTTGCTGTGGTAATAAAACATAATATCAGACGAGACCGATTTCTTTGATTGGATTAAGGAGATGGATACTAAAAGCTGGACGAGACATTTGACGAATGATCGAATGCCGCGAGACGATAATATTTTTCTCTTATCACGTCAGTCGGTTTCAATGACGGGTGTTACCTACGCAGAATTTTTTCTTTTGAAATATTTTATAACGCTTTCTCTCCTTCGGGAAATATAAATGAATCTGCCCCCACAAGATTAATTAATTGATTGATGGAAGGAGACACAGAGTTCTCTGGTTAGCTGTGCCTAGAAGTCCAAAATGGCAAACCCTAACAGCAGTTTTCAGTAAGCTGCTCCCTCGAAGGAGTTCGGGCTAACGAATGTGCTCAAGATGACCGCCAAAAGCTTTGGAAAAGCTAAGCACTTGCGTCATCGTTGATGGACACTCCCCCAGCTGTGATCACAAAAAGCAGTACAAGGCACAAGCTCATGTTATTTTATGTTATATATACACCAAACTTGATGGATCACAACGAGAAATTGCTCACTCATTACCCGTGAAAAGAGAGTCTTCGTCGGTTTCATGTTAAGTTCTGTACGGTCTACGTAAGCTTTAGAACAAGCCATCTATTTATAACCCTATCCCCCACAACACAGAACCTCACTTGAGACACTCCCCACTTATTAACTTCATTTTCGTTTCTCAGAGAATTCCCATGTCTCGCTTTCTGTTTCTCTCTCTCTCGTCTGCTCTCACTAGCTAGCCATATCCATTATAGACGCTGCAGAGTTTGTTCGCTTTGATTTTTTGTTAAGAGCCGTCCTCGTCATCATACTTAGCACGTTCCAGTATGGCCATGGTCGATCGTATAATTACACTTCCTGAGTTAGGAGTCCCGGCCATCATGCCGAGCTTTCGCAGGATCGCACCTGAACTTGCGACGCCGGTGTTTGAAGACAAGATTTATATTGCAGCTGGGAAGGACGTGAAAGAGGGCAAAGCGAAGATTGTTTGGACGGTGCATCAATCAGGAGGCAATGTCAAGATCTGTATCATTCATGTTCTAGTTCCTTCACAGACGATCCCCATGCGTAAGTCAACGTTTTTGCTTTGTTTTCTTTGCACATCACCCACCATCGATTTTCGGTATCTTTTCTTGTTCTACAAGTTTCTGTTAACGGTAAAAATAAGAGCTTACCAAGCTCCCATGGATATAATACACGGATCTTCCACGATGGACAGTCGATATGTGAATAAATTAAATTTCTCTTTGAGGGTTTTGCGATGTTGGACCATGTTGGATAATCCTATTGCTTTAACTTGCTCTATTATTGCCAATGTTCGTTCTTTTTACCGCGTTCTTTCATGCAACGGATTAAAATAACTGCGCTTCCTTTGGTTTGCAGGAGGCCTAGGTGCCGGAATGCCTGCAAACTCGGCGAACGAGATAATGTTGAAAGAACACAGAGAAAACGAGAGGACAAACATGCATAAAATCTTGGATACCTACCTGCGCGTTTGTGAACAAATGGGGGTATATTTACTTTCTGCTTCTTCATCTAGATGATTAAATATCCTGGTCAATGACTTCTTAACAAAGTGCTAGCGAATCACACAAATATTAATCATCGTTAACCCTTGATATATGTTCTCGTGTGGCACAAGTTTACATGAATATATATAGATATATATAATTTTATATTTAGAGACGAGGATAATAAAGAAGCAAAATTGTTTAACTTATTGGTTCATAGGTACCGGCAGAGAAAGAGTACATAGAATCGGACAACATTCAAAAGGGAATTGTGGAGCTCATACGTTTGCACGGGATCAAAAAGCTTGTAATGGGTGCAGCAGCAGACAGACGCTATTCCAAGTACGTACAAGAACAAGAAGACACGCCCACATGGGCAGTGAACTTATTTATTCCAAAACTGTCCTCTTCACAACTATAAGGACATGTTTGTTTGGATCCTTAATTACAACATTAAACCAGATACTTATTTCTACGTTAATCCTTAAAGATGTGCTGTACCCGTCCAGTCTTTGAGGAATACTTTGTGGCGCTTTTCAAACACGATGTCTAGTTCGCCCCGAGTCCATCACAATAAATATTGTAGTATGAATCGTCTTACTTTCCAACCGAGTAAAATAATAAAGCTGGCGACATATCGTTTTAAGAATCTAAAAGTCTCTCGTGTTGTGTTTTCAAGCTTATGTTTAGTATTATATGAACTCAGACCAAATTAATTCACTATCTTCTATGGTTTCGAATTGGCAGGAAGATGACAGAAATCAAGTCCAAGAAAGCCATCTTCATTCGCGAAAAAGCGGACATCTCTTGTCAAATTCGGTTTATCTGCGACGGGAACCTCATTCACGCAAGGTCGTCCTCTGACTATTTTACTCGTAAATTTGTCTCGTTCGAAATTATCGAATGCGCACATGAAGGTGTAGTGAAAAAAAGATCTACAACAAATAATCAATTTGAAAAACAAATCAGCCGAATATCGTGTTGCAAAGTTGAATGCCATAGGATACCAAGAAGTTTAGTTTGGGATGATGCTGAGACAAACAATTGTATTCATGGAGTGCTGTTTGGGCAGGAAATTGTAATATCTCATGGAGTGCTGTCTCGTGGATGGATATTATTGTTAGAAATTAAACCAAATTTGTCGATACTTGTTTTTTTGTGAGTCTATTCGTATTTTCATATTTTAATTTTTCGTGTTTTTAGGTGCTAATTATAGTTTGAGCCCGAAAGAGGAAATTTTCCTAAGTCAATTAGATTTCCTAATTGAATGGTTTCCTAATCGGAGTAGGTTTCCTAATTAGAATAGGTTTCCTAGAAAGAGGTTTCCTATTTCGAATCAAACTATGGCCTATATATAGTCTATTTCTCTTGTAATTGAAACATGCAATAGAAAGGCGCGAATTGCGATCGTTTCACCTTCAAAAAATTTCTTCCATCAGATCAATATTGTTGCCGCGCCTCTGACGCTCAACAAATTGGTATCAGAGCTTACGGTTCGTGATCATGGCCTCAACGAACAATCAGCTTCCTCTTCAATACCCTTGTCTTACCAAAGAAAATTATGGTAACTAGGCTGTTAGAATGAAAGCTCTACTCGTCGCCTACGGTGTGTGGGAACTTGTTAACACTGGCTATGATGAGCCAGAGGATGAAGCCACGTTGAACCAGAACCAAAGGAATGCCTTGGAGAAGGTTCGAACGAAAGATCAATATGCCCTGTCGATCATCTATCAAGCGTTAGATGATTCCATGTTCGAAAAAGTTTCGAACGCCACTACCGCTAAAGAGGCATTGGAGATTCTTCAAAACACACACCAAGGAGTTCAAAAAGTTCAGAAGATTCGCCTTCAAACCTTGAGAGACGAATTCGAGGTAATTCATATGAAAGAATCCGAATCGATTGCTGATTATTTCACGAGAATTTTGGCAATTGTTAATCAGATGAAACGAAATGGAGAAGACGTTTCCGATGTTCGTGTTGTTGAGAAAATACTTCGGTCCTTAGACAAGAAGTATGATCATATTGCGGTTGCAATCGAAGAATCCAAAAACTTGGATGCCATGACGGTCGATGAACTTATGGGTTCATTACAAGCCCATGAAGAAAGGTTTAGAAAGAAAAAGATTGAACCGGTAGAGGAAGTTCTCCAAATGCAATTGACCATTCGAGATGAGAAGAAGCAAAGAAGAGATCCCGTACAAAATCGCAGGACAAATTAAGATCGTGATCGAGGTCGTGGCCGAGGTCACTTTCGAGGAAGAGGTCGTGGACGAAGCAGAGGAGATCCTGCTCGAAGTGATGGAGGATACCAGTACCAAAGAGGTGTTCGTGGAAGAGGAAAGAACTCGACAAGCCAATGATATGATAAATCTAAAATCCGATGTTATCATTGCAATAAACTTGGCCATTATGCTTCTAACTACTGGAACAAAGAAAGTAGCAGAGCAGGCAAAAATGCGAACTTGGTGAATGATGCTGATCAAGTTCTCTTATTGGCATTCAAAGAATATGAAGAAGGTCAAAGCGATACGTGGTATTTGGATACTGGCACAAGCAATCACATGTGCGGGAGAAAGGAGATGTTTGCCGAGTTAGATGAGACAATTAAAGGGACTGTCTCATTCGGTGATAACTCTAAAATTCTTGTTGAAGGGAAAGGTATAATTTTGATTCGCTTAAAGAATGGTGCACGTCAGTTTATTACCAATGTTTATTATGTTCCAAAAATGTCAAGAAATATCTTGAGTTTGGGACAACTTCTGGAGAAATGTTATACTGTTCATATGAGATATCTTAATCTTATGTTGAGAGGTCGAAATAATAAACTGATTGCAAATGTGAAGATATCGAAGAATAGGATGTTTATTCTTAATATAAAGAGTGAGATGTCTCAATGTCTAAAGGCATGCGTAGATGATCCTTCATGGTTGTGGCATTTGAGGTTCGGCCATCTCAATTTTGGCGGACTCAATTTGCTTTCTCGCAAGAAAATGGTTAATGGCTTACCACATATTGATCATCCCTATCAATTATGTGAAGGGTGTGTTATCGGCAAGCATTCTAGAACTAGCTTTCCAAAGGAGGCGACTTATCGAGCGAAGAAGCCGCTTGAGTTGATTCATTCTGATTTGTGTGGCCCGATCAATCCTCACTCATATGGTAATCATCAATATTTTGTTACTTTTATTGATGATTTTACTCGAAAAACTTGGGTGTATTTTTTGAAAGAAAAGACAGAAGTGTTTGATACTTTCAAATAATTCAAGAACCTGGCTGAAAAGGAAATCGGCTATTTTATCAAGGCTTTGAGGACTGATCATGGTGGAGAATTCACCTAAGCCATATTCAACAAATTCTGTCAAAATCATGGTATTCGGCGTTTCTTGACGGCCCCGTATTCTCCTCAACAAAACGGTGTGGCTGAACGGAAAAATAGAACCATTCTTGATATGGTTTGAAGCATGTTGAAGAGCAAAAATTTGTCAAAGGAACTTTGGGCTGAAGCTGTTTCGTGTGCCGTCTATCTTCAAAATAGATGTCCCACATATGGACTTGAAGGCGTAACTCCACAAGAGGCATGGACCAGGAGAACACCAAGTGTTTCGCACTTGAGAATTTTTGGGAGCATTGCCTATGCTCATGTCCCAGACCAAAAAAGATCGAACTTGAAGACAAGAGCAAAAAGCTCATCTTTATCGGGTATGACTCATCATCCAAAGGCTATCGACTATTTGACCCTAATACTTTGAAAGTGTATGTAAGTAGAGATGTCAAGTTCGATGAAGATGGAATGTGGGAAGAAAATCTAAAAGAAGAAGCGAATGTTCGTGGTGATTCCGATCAAACGGAGTTGAAGCATCAACCTTCACCTTCTTCTCCAACATCTTCTTCAAGTTCATCAACACCATCCTCTTCAAATAGTATCGATGGACCGCTATTGCCAAGATCGAGAAGATTGTCTGAAATTTACGAAGCTACCCAGGAGCTTCATCTTATATGTCTTCTTGCAGATTATGAACCACTTGCTTATGATGATGCGGCCAAAGAGGAAAAGTGGAGGAAAGCCATGAACGAAGAAATTGAAGCCATCGAGAAAAATCAAACATGGGAGCTTGCTAATCTTCCGAAGGACAAGAAATCAATTGGTGTTAAATGGGTGTACAAGGCCAAGAAGAATGAGAAAGGTGAAGTAACAAGGTACAAAGCTAGATTAGTCGCGAAGGGGTACAAGCAAAAAGCCGGAATCGACTATGATGAAGTTTTTGCCCCTGTCATCCGCATGGAAACGATTAAATTGATTATTTCCATTGCTGTTCAAAATAATTGGCGGATTTATCAAATGGATGTCAAATCAGCATTTTTGAATGACATCCTTGAAGAAGAAATTTATGTCGAATAACCCAAGGAGTTTGTTGTGAAAGGTCATGAAGACAAAGTGCTAAGGTTGAAGAAAGCTCTATATGGGCTTAAACAAGCACCGAGAGCATGGAATTCCAGAATTGATGCATATTTCAAGGCGAATGAATTCTCTCAATGTCCATACGAGCATGCACTCTATTTGAAGCAAGAAAAAGGTGATATTCTGCTCGCCTGTTTATATGTTGATGATCTTATTTTTACAGGAAATAATTCGGCGATGATTGATGCTTTTAAGGCATCGATGGTGAAAGAATTTGAGATGACCGATAATGGTCTCATGAATTATTTCCTTGGTATCGAAATGAAGCAAAGTGCCGATGGGATTTTTATTTCTCATAAAGGATATGTAGAAAATATCCTTGAAAAATTCAACATGAAGAACTGTATGCCGGTCAATACACCAATGGAGTGCGGAACCAAGCTTTCGAAGTTTGATGATGGTGCCGATGTTGATTCGACATATTATAGAAGCTTGATTGGGAGTTTGAGATACTTGACATGCACGAGACCGAATATTATGTATAGTGTTGGAATTGTGAGTCGATACATGGAGAAGCCAAAATCATCTCATCTTAAAGCTGCAAAGAGAATACTTCGGTACATCAACGGTACTATTTCTCATGGCTTACACTATTATTGCTCTGAATCTTTCAAACTTAGAGCTTATTCGGATAGTGATTATGGTGGAGATATCGACGATCGAAAAAGCACCACGGGATTTGTATTTTTCTTGTGCAACACTGCTTTCACGTGGTCATTAAAGAAGCAATCAAGTGTTACTCTGTCGACATGTGAAGCTGAATATGTAGCTTCATCTTCATGCGTTTGTCATGCAATATGGTTGAGAAGACTACTCAAAGATATTCTTATGGAGCAGAAGAAAGCAACGGAGATTTTTGTTGATGATGTTTCTGCTATTGCTTTGGCGAAAAATCCAGTTTTTCATGAACGAAGTAAACATATCGATGTTCGATATCACTTCATCCGAGAACAGGTTAAAGAGAATGAAGTTGAAGTATTGCATGTGAAGACCGGAGATCAAGTAGCAGATATTTTTACTGAACCTCTCAAGATCGAAACTTTTCGAAAGTTCAAGAGCCTGCTTGGAATGATCGATGGAAGAGAATTTGGTTTAAGGGGGAGTGTTAGAAATTAAACCAAATTTGTTGATACTTGTTTTTTTGTGAGTCTATTCGTATTTTCATATTTTGATTTTTCGTGTTTTTAGGTGCTAATTATAGTTTGAGCCCGAAAGAGGAAATTTTCCTAAGTCAATTAGATTTCCTAATTAAATGGTTTCCTAATCGGAGTAGGTTTCCTAATTAGAATAGGTTTCCTAGAAAGAGGTTTCCTATTTCGAATCAAACTATGGACAATATATAGTCTATTTCTCTTGTAATTGAGACATGCAATAGAAAGGCGCAAATTGCGATCGTTTCACCTTAAAAAATTTCTTCCATCAAATCAATATTGTTGCTGCGCCTCTGACGCTCAACATAGCGAACGTAGCGCAAAGGGCAATTAGCGCAGGGACTTTGGAGGACATCTTGGATCCATTGGCTGGAGATTGGCCCTATGAGCTGGCCAAGGAGTTGACTCATTTGGCTTTGAGGTGCTGCGCGATGAGCAGAAGGGATAGGCCGGATCTCCAGTCAGACGTGTGGACGGTGTTCGAATCGGTCGGAGCTTCCTATCGATAAACCTAGACTAGTGAATACTTAGGAATTGAGCAATATACACAT